TTTTTTGTATTATTTCTACAACTTTTAGAACACCAAAATGAATCTCTCCTCGTTACAACGTTTTTCTGTTATAAACATTTGCAAAAAGTATTATTTTCACAAGTCATTATTAGCAAGTTGAATAGACTCCTGCTTACCCTGCACATAATGCATAAATTCTCTTTTCGACATCTTGTCAATCCGCAGTATTTACTATACTTTACTTTTGGAAATGCTTTACAAAGTTCGCATGGCAGAGTAAGTCCGGAATTCAGTGCTTTGAGGCGACACTCATCGCTGCAATATTCACTAAGAATGTCATCATTGGGATCAAGATCAGGCTCTTTATCACCGCAATACAGGCACAATTTCGTCATCCTACTTTGAGATTAAGTGTGAGGTGTCTAAAAGGTTGATTTTTTTTTTTAGTACCTCCATGTCGGATAAGAAAAACATGAAACCAAAAATGGAATGATATTAGGGCTGAAAAATGTGCGACGTATAGTGCTCATTTGAGTGACTCATGTGTATAGCACAAAGATAAACATACATCATTTTATTTCCCTATGTGATATGCATTTATTGTCGAGATTTCATATTAAGTATGGTAAAAAATGTCTAGTAACTGTTACTGTATTCTGTTATTGCAGTAAAAAATGAATACAGTAATGGTAAAAGCATAAATGCTAAAATTCTATGAAACTTCAAGCTCAAACGTTGCATCTGGATAAACTTGTTTTGTTTTTTCGTTAACAGCTGTTGCCGTAAATTCCATTCTACCGAATGTTAAAGAAAATTCAATTGGACAATTGGTCCCATCGATGGAGACTTTCATGGTTCCAACATGCTTCATTCCGGGATCGTCACAAAATTTTCCATCGAGATCTTTTGTGGTGAAAATTTTGAATGCGATTGTCACTTGTTTTGGTCTTACAGGATAAAAAGTTTTTGAAAATTTCTTGTTGACGTCGACCTTTGTTCCACGCTGCGCTAACTTTTCAAATGTATATACAAGACCTTCTGGCGTCCGTCGTTTCCTCTTGTCTTTACCCTCTATCCATTCGTGCGCCACTTCAACACCAAATGTCCATTTAAGTACACGTGTCTTGATAATTTGATCATTGATTCCATAAGCCAATCCACCTCGAACGACGGCAATATCGGGAGGTTGTGGAATAACGATTTTCGGAACTTGAAATCGAAAATTTTCTTGAACACGGCGATAAAGATAGTCAGATTTACAAAATCCACCAACTAAAAATATTACTGAACACTTTTCCTGTGATGAATTTAATTGCTCCGAAATTAATTCAAGAATTTTGTTAATGACTGGGTCAAACATATCTTTAACCGCATTGAAATCCAGCTTTATGATCCACCCATCATCCTCCATCTCCGACCGTTTCCTTCCTTCAACGCATTCAATCAAATCTGGGCATTCTCTTTGTAAGTCGAGTTTGACGACCCTCCACTTGTTTTTCTCACCGTTGAATCGATATTTGACTTTCTCACAGAAAAATTCCTGAATCAAGCATTGCATCTTTTCGTAATGATTATTTTTAAATTTTTCGACAGCTTGGAAACTTAGTTTTTCACCGAGAAATCTAAGAAATTCTTTGTCAACAAAAGTACTCCCGCAAGGATACCCAGTGCGTTCTGTGATTTCGTCAAGCTCATTGTTTGGAAGGAGCTTGCGCATCGTAATGTCGACCGTACCCCCACCACAATCAGCGACTAAAAATGAATCTTAATTTTTTTTAAATTAAAGAAATAAATACAGTAAATTAATAAATTATGAAGTAGGCGATTGCCAATATGATGTCCAGTATATGAAAACCAACCTTCGGTCTTCATATCGTGATCGTCTACTACGGTGAGGCAGTGTAATGCCGCGGCTTCCGCTATGGGTCAATATATCATTAAATCTTCATATTCCACTACTGTAAATATAGTACTGTAACTAGTATATTGATTCACGTACGTTCTGTCGTAAATTCCAAATTCTTTGAACGCAAATTGCTCAATAAACCGGCTTTGAATGCACATTCGCGCATTATGTCGGTAGTACGAGGAGGCTAGGAGTAGAAGATTCGCGACTATTAACATAGCTATCAAAATAAAAGGAAAATAATAAATTATTGCATACCCATTCAGCTGGTATGGTTAGTACAATCTTAATTTGGTCGGGGAATTTTATTGTAGGAAGGTCTTTCTGAATTTTATCCTGAATCAATTCTCGCATTTTGGTTAGATAATCCTGAATTGCCTTGTTATATGTCAATTGTGGAGGTAACCAAGGTTTAACATCCAATTCATATAGATGTAATTTAAATTCTTCTATGGGCTTGGAATCATCGTTATCTGACTCATCGTGGGGTATCTGAACCAACGCCTCTTTTCCCCAATCTATTACTTCTTTATACCTTGAACAGTATTTAAGCACCGTGGGATTTTTAAAATTCCCGTAATTTCCTGGCCTTTTGTTAAAAAATTAAGATACCGACATGCTGAATTTAGAATTTATTGGTCTTCGTAATGACATAAGAACACCGTAAAAAAATTCATTAATTACCAACTGTTGAATGTCACTATTTCTTTGGGCCTATCTTTGTGCGCAAAAGCGAATGCAGAGTTAGTTGTACCAAAATCAATTGCCACTACCACACGAACATCTTGAAGTGCCATTTTTTATGACGAACGATGTGCTGGTGTTTGATGATTTTTTGCTCATTAGTCTATTTATACTTTAATAACTGCGATAAACATTCAATGTGACATAAATATACATTTTAGACGTAGTTACTGTGACATAAAAAAAAGCATAAAGGTCATGAGGATAATCTGTGAAACGAAACCAAAGTTTTAGCAAGGTTTCTAAATATTTGGAAATTTCTCTTCTTCCACGTAAGCTTCCTGACAATTTTTTTGTCGCAAAATATGAATGATGGCATGTCGGCTAGTCAATCTTCAAATACCAATAATAATATGCGCCAATTGGAAATTTTCAAAAATGAAGATTGGGATCATTTAATTTCCCAAAATTCCTGCGAAGCTTATTCCTACTTATTCATAATATTGTGGGATTCCACGGGATTATCTCAACATAAAGCCTTGGTTTTTGATGATCAAATGGAGAGGATGATTCATTTAGTCGGGAAGTTATATAGAAGGAAAGTTATAAATTTCGATTATAAAGATACCATCATTTGGTCTCTTCATGATTATAGGCGCCATAGACTCTCAAACCAACGGAACAAAAGGAATCGATTGGTGGAATTTTCTTGGGATAGACTAGAATCGTACGGGTTAAAGAATCAAGAAAATTTTCAGAAACAATTAGAAAAACTAAAGTTGGATGATAACATAAAGTTGCGAAATATTGTTTTGGAAAGAATGGCTCGCCTAATAAAAGGACCGAATGAAAATAAGGTATCGGATGAATTACGTGAAGAGATAGAGAGTTTAAAATCTCAAGTTCTCGACTTGCAAAAAGAAAACTCACAATATCAAGCGACATTAGGAAGCTTAACAAGCGTAAATTTGAATGACGATGATCCCAACAATGCAGTTCAAATAGCAAGAAGTATTCGAACACTGCAGTATTCCCTTGGAGATTTAGCCATGGTCAAAGGTCCTGACTACGAAATCAACCAAGAGAAATGTGCAGAACTTTTAGGTCATTATAAATGTTCGGCAACGCCTGAAGAAAGATTAGTATTGTCTGGTGCTATTCAACGGTTGGTCCTTGATACAATTTTCGAGGAGACAAATGGTTATTTCCGTGAGGTCGAACAACATCTGAAAAATTCTCCGTCCGATTGTAGCGTGGAAGACACCGTTGAAGTAGATTTATTTGTAACTTCCGAAAGGTTGGCTGCTGTGACTGAAAATTTTGACAAACTGCGTCCAGGGAAAGACCTTATGGCGTCCGTTGCACCTACAAAAATTCGTCAACAGATTAATGCTATTCTTGGTTCTCGTGCCTTTTCGAATGATTCTAATCGGTTAATCATGAAAATTTCAAAAATTATCGTGGAGAAATTGAATCACCACCGAAAAATTCTTGATGACGAATTAAAAAATGATGAAGAAGGAGATATTGTCCAACTTATTCGTGACATTATTCAATTATTTTATTTTAGATTCAAGGCTCAGCCTAAAATGATCGAATGGAAATTTTACGAGAACGGAGATAGTGTGGATCCCTCGTTCATGCAGAGTTTAAAGGGATTTAAGGATTTAAAGAAACAAAAGGTTGAGATTTGCAGCTTTCCAGCAATTTTCATATGTGAAGATGATGAGGTAAAGAAGGTTATTTCAAAGGCTCAAATCATAGCTGCCTATAGAGATTTTTCGTAGCGATAATAATTCGAACTTATGGCAAGAAACATATGTCTTCTTTCTTATTTTATACGGATCATAAATATACCGACAAATAAATATAGTATACAGTATTTATTAAAAATTTTCAAAACTCGCCTGATGATATTTGCATTGCACGTGATAACGAAAAATCAAAGTAAATTCTTAATTCTGGATCTTGAAGTTTTGACATGTATCAATTAACTTTTATCTTTCAAACATTTTATTTATAATCAATATTTGTCAAGCGCTCTGAGTTTTTTTTTATTCCTTATAAGGGATTAAAAAAAAAGATTAACATAATAATATAATAGCCTTCAAAGAATGCTATAAGATGAACTTGAAGTAATGATTTCAGAGGGAGGTGAACGATCAAGACGTTAGGCCAAATGTCTCCTGATATATTATTCAAGAGACAAATCAGTTGCCTCAGATAAGATGCCGAAAAAAGAATTACAACGGATTGAAGATTTTTTTCTACGGCAAGCCTGTCTCTAATCCCATAGCTTCGCATCATCCTATCAATGATTTCTCGTGGCTAAATAAGGCGTTGACAACTGAGGCATGACAAACTTGGCCGGCTCTCCCACTTGTCAATTTATCTCCTTGGTCCATCTTACAACTTGGGTTTCTGCTGGTTATTCTCCTTCTAGTCTAACTTTGGCTCTTTGTTGGTTATATATTTAGACCATTAAAGTTCCAAGTGATATTAAACAAGTTAATCAAAATATAGTCTAGGTTTTCTCCCTCCTCCTTTCCAATTTAGGTACCATCTTCTATTTATACTCCCATATGTGGCTTGTCAACTAGACCCAAATGCGTCACACACCTACTGCCCCTTGAGGAATTATTGCGTTACATACTTGCTACCGTACGTCGCGGCGTTTAGGACCCCCCGTCGTGGATATTTTAATGGTGCATACCTTTCTGCCAATTATTATGTAAGTAATATATATATATATTATTCTTATTCGTGTATATTGATTGGAAGACCGGCAAGTATTCTACGTGGGGGATACGACGCAAGGTACTCATTTACCGATAGAAATGTAAACTTTAAACGACGTTAGGTGACAAAAAAGATAACACTATTGTTGACCAAAGTCTCATTTTCATGCAACCTAACTTAATTTTGAGTTATTGCACCAGTGATATGTTTTTAAAAGGTATTTTCACAAGATTGCAATGTTAACGGAAAATCAGTGTTAAATCGACTTACGCAGAGTTATAGTATAACAAATATCAAATTCCTTAAAAGTAGAACTCTCTGAAGGCGAAGGGGGCATTTTTTGGACCCTATAATTGCGATACTAAATTTTGCATTGTGTAAATACTATCTAAAAGATAATAATCAGTTACAGTAATGAAAATAATTGTTAAAAAGAAAGATGTGAAATAAGCAAGGTACTCATAATGAATCCTACTTATAGACGAATGGATTTAAAATGGAAGTAAATAGAAAACACCTTATACAATTGATTACTCTAATTCAAACGTTTCAGTCTAGAATGCGTGCACATTAACTGTAAGGATTTGGATCCAAATTATCAAATTCCATGAAGATGTCCGCGCTACATAAAATTGATTGGTTAGTCATATATCTACTATAGGAAACGGAAAATGTCATAATGTCAAATGAATTCTTTGGATGAGGTCTATACATTATATACAATATATATGACGAGACTATTGTCACGTGACTGATAGCCGCGACCATTATATGACTGCAAGGAGGGAAGGATTGAAAAGCTATTATGTCATTATTCCTTTCTATTATTTAGTGCCATAGTCTCCCTAGCCAATCTAATCAAAATAATGCATAAAAAGAACATACAAAAGGTTAAACGCTCGGTCAAGCATAAACGCCTCTTAATTAATAAAGTACACTCACTTTAACAACGGTTATATACAAAAAAGTTTTTGAACCTCCAAAAGAATCATATATTTTTTTGCAAAACTAGATTATTACTACTTAAATTCTAGCACAAAATTTATGGAATCATTATTGGTGTTGTGTGCATCTCATACGGCATTGCTGAATTAAGAAACAATAACATTTCGGATCTTGAATTACATGCTCCGAGCTTGATGTGACATTAAATGGTCATCACATAATCTGTACATATGATGCAATTGTACCGTTCAAGTGGTGTCGTGTAAGTTACAAATAAATTAGATTATGTAATTATTATAAAGTTATAATTCCAAAATTTATTTACAATTTAAATCTTTCGTTTTATATTTCAAAATATAAAAAATTAATAAGTTTTAACATACAGTACAATATTATCACAGGTAGCTGTACATGGATCCCATGTTACAACAAAGAGGTAGAATATTTAGATAAGTTTATAAAATAACAAGTGCCTCGTTGATTAAATAAGTAATTTAATGTTGAGTTTTTCACTAATAAAAAAAATTGTTTTTTGCTAACAATACATTTTTTCACAGGTTAAATAGAATTTGGATTTACATATTTTAATTTTCATTATTACTGCTAATTAAAAACATTCAACATACAATGTGGGACAAAAAAATTTGGATTTATTATTATTATTATAATTTAATAAATAATAATTCAATTAATATAAAATTTCAAATACATCTTTTTTAAAATCTAAATAATATAATATATAAAGTTTTATTAATGCTTTAATTAATAAATTTATTTGAAAATATTAATTCAAAGTCAAAAAAAAAAAAAACTTAAAAAATATATTATAAAATTTATATACAAATTTATATATATAGTATGGACATAAATTAAAATTTTACTATAGAAAAATTTTTAAAAAAATTTAACATAAAAATAAATAAAAATTTAAGCTTATAAAAAAATTATAAAAAACTTATTATTATATTTAATAAATGTTATTAAAATTGGTTTGTTTTTTTATCATATAAAATTATTTTTAAAAAATCTTTAAAATCTTTAAAAACTCTATATTTAATATAAAATTTATATTCTTTTAATAAAATTTGATTAAATTTTAAATTAAGTTAATTATTAAATAATTTTTTTATACTTAATAAAAAAAATAATTAATTATTAAAAAAAAAACTTTTTCTTATAAATTAATTTGACAAAAAAATTTTTTTATAGTAATAATCTTTAAAACAAACACTTTATTTTTTTTTAAGCATCTCCAAGTATACTTTATATTTCAACTACTTTCACCATGAAGCTTTCAACCTTCTTAACAAACCAAAAACAATTTCTTCACACAACTATTCATGATGACTAAAATTATAAACTTTAAATTTATTACCTTGGCTTAAAAATAAATACAATTCATAAAATTGATTATATTAGAACTATTATTATCACCAACTTTATTAATTATCCTAAACACTTTCTCATCATTAAAGAGAAAAAAAACATACAAAAAATCCTCAATACTAATATTATTAAAAATATTAAAACTATTATTTTTGAAAAAACTGCTATTAAAAAAAATACAATTCCTATAATTAAAGCTATAGTTCAAAATTTCAAAACTGAAAACTTTGACTTTAACTATATTAACAACATTGTCAATAAAATGGAAAAAGTTCAACTTGACCAATACTTCTATAAATGCTTTCAAGAATTTCTCTTCTTTTCTAGAAAAAAACAAAAAATCCTTTGCAGCTTTCTCCTGAAAACAATTTACTGTCTATCAATTTTCTTGTTTTTCAAAAAAGAAATAATAATCAATTAACTATAATACAAGCATATACAAGTAACTTATCTATTACTTCAATCCTTTTTTAATATAACAATATCATAAAAATTAATGAAACATATGATAAACCAATGAAACTCTCTAATCTGGATCCTATCCCAGAAAACCTTTACAATTAAATATCTTTAGCTATTAATCAATAATTAATTTATCTAACAATTCCATTACCATCTCCAATCTAATGGATATCAGTAAAATAAAACCAATAAACCAATTACAATATATTAACTTTGAAGGTATCATTAACCTTGATCAATTCTCCAAATCCATCAATAACAACAAGTAACCACTTTAATCAAATATATGATTATCTTTCTTTGATTATCAAATCCAAGAAAAATTATAGCAAATTTGAGACAACAAGCAATATGACACTCTTTATAAAGAAACAAAATCCCTAGCTAACTAACTTATATCAGTATCAAATAATATAACTATAGTTATCCAATTTATTACAAAAATCAGAGAACTATTCAAATATTCTTTTTACTTCTTTCAATCCATATTCAATAAACTTAACTTTAAGAATTCTATTTTCTTCAGCTTTTTCATCTCCAAGACAGAAATTAAGTCAGCTTATTAAAAGGAATTTAATAAAATTAAAAAGAACTTTCAAGAAAAATATAAAAAAGAATATAACCTTAACTTTATCAATCTGGAAACAAAAAAAAAATCTGAATAATTGTCTATACTATTTTCTTAATTATCTATCTCAGAACTATTGACATTAACAACATATTCTTCTATAAACTAGCTAGCCTTTTTATATATCTTATCAATTACTTTATTTATAAATAATAGTTTTTTATTGACTACATTATTCTTAAAGATAAACTCAAGAAATATGTGAATAAATTACTTCTAGAACTTCCATTTTCTTCAAATAAAATTTCAGTTAATATAAAAATTAAACTTCTATACAATCTACCAATGCATAACAAATCTTAATTTATTCCAACCCTACACATATTAAAATCCCATTACAAATTTCAAAAACTTCTAGACAGCTTTTTTAAAATTAACTTTTCATTACCTGAAAATCTTTTTGATCTCTTATCAAAATATAGAAAAATCTTTTAATCAAAAAACACAGTGAATTAATTAAGCTTTCTGATCTAAAAAGCTATTTTTATGAAGATTATCAAGTCTCTTCCAATCTTTTTAACTCCTATTTCAAACTACCACAACCAAAAAAACTACTTCTATCAACCTATCATTTGTTGAAACCTAAATATTGAAACTTTTTTTTCTTTAATCCCAATTCAAAAGAGA